ATTTTTTTAAGTAATATATAATCAAAATTTAATTGAACTTTTTTTTATAAATATATTCTATAAATATTCAAATATTAAATATATTTATTTAATTGCAAATTAATATATAAAATTTTATATAATTAAATTTTAATTCAAATATATCAAGTTGGCATATTATGCTTAATGAGATTCTTAATAATAATTTTTTTAAATTTTTAAAAAAAAGTTTATAAAATAAATAATATAAAGAATATTTTTTTAATAAACAAAATATAATTTGTATAATAAAAAAAAGTTATAAATTAAAAACTATATAATTTAAATATTTTTAATAAATTTTGTAAATTAATAAAAAAAGTATTTAATTAATATATAATAAATTTATTTTTAAAACTTAATATTATAGTATATATAATCTAAAAAGTATAAATTAAAAAAATTATTAAATTTAATATTATAAATAAGCTTTTTAATTTATTTTATAAAATATAATACAGTCAACTCTTTATAAATACACTCTTTATAAAAAATGTACACCCTCTCTAAATACATCTTTTTACCTAGTTTCAAGCTAGAACTTATATATTAAATGCATATTTTATATATATCTTTTTCTGTATATGCATCTTTTGAAAAAAATTTTATAATTATTACTTATAAATTTTTTTGTATCATTTTAATTTTATATTAATACTATATAAATTTATATAAATTTATAAATATACACCCTCTCAAAATGCACACTTGCATCTGATCTCAAGAAAGTGCATTTATAGAGAGTAGACTGTATATTAAAAGTGATAATACTATAGTTCATAATAAAAAATATTTTAATAATCTCTAATTATAATTGGTTAATTTTGAAATCAAAATAAAATCAACTAATACGTATAAAATTTTTATTTGTTTATATTAATTTAATTGGTTAAAATCGTGTATACAATCAGGTTATTATTTCCTTATATAATTTTATATAAATATTTATATTTGTTTACTTCTTTTTTTTGTTTTTTTTCGTAATTTTAAAATTTTTACAATGTCTACCTTTATTTCATATTCTGATTTATCTAAAGCAATTTTAAATTGTAAACTTCCGTCTAAAGAAACTTTAAATATTTTATCACAAAATCAACAAATAGAACTATTAAAATTTTTTTATAATAAACAACAAAAACTGCTTAATAAACTTCTTGAACATAAAAAAAATGAACAAATGCCAATTAATATTCCAAATATTCGACTACCTAAAAGAGATAAAACAAAACCATCAAAATTAAAATTATCAGAACTTTGCACCTGGTTACCAAAAAATTATTTTTCAAAAATTAAATCAGATTTTACACCACTTCTTGACGAAAATAATATCAAAGAATCAATTACATGGTTACAACTGGGATATACAGCTAGAGAAAGTTGGATTTTAGATGTAAGCTAATAACAAATTTATAATTTATATATACAGTAATTTGATTTATATATTATATATTTTTTAGGTTTACAATAAACATATAAATCAAATCGGCTCTAATAAATGGATTGTTGAAGAATGTTTAAAACAAAAATTAGTAGATAGAGGTAAATTTTATTATATTTATATAAATATTATTTTAATTGAAATTTGAAAAAAATAAATTATTTTTTATAGCTGATAATTTTAGACGAAGAAATAAAAAAGCAAACTTAAAAGTTATTAATTCTAATATGCAAGCTGCAAGTGAAGATGAATTAGAAACATTACAACAAAATAATAGAAATATTGAAGAAAATAATCGGATTAATGAAGAAAATATATTAGAATCTGATATTGAAGAATGTACCATTAACAAAGAAAATATATTTGGACCCAATATAGAACTTGATGAATATTATCAGGAGAATACTACTATAAATGAATGTAAGATAACTAAAATTGGTTACGTTAAATAATTATTTAAAAATTTTTAATTAAACTTATTTTATTTAGATAATAATGAAGAACCTTTCGCTACATCTAGTTCTAACAGCTTTGTAACGTCTACTTCTAACAATAATATAGTTACTTCTAGAAATTATGAACTTTATGATTCTACAAGTGATATGGCATTTGATACTACATTTAGTAGTGATGAAGAATTATCAAGAAATATTTCTTCTCAACCATATAAACGTATGAAATTTATTTAAAATTATTTTGAGTTATTGATATTTAATTTAATTATTTAAAATTTTTGGTTTATTTGTAGATACATTAAAAACAAATACGCCTATTATGAAAACTACTGATAGAATAAGCAATCGAACAAGACAAAAATACCATATTAATTCTGAAGATTCTTTGCCTAAACGGATTCAAAAAAAGGATACTTTACAATCTTCAACATTGGCTAATGAAACCCGAAAAATTCAAAGAACCAATATTAATAGTAAATTTAGCGACAAAACTAGATTAGGCAAAGTTAGAATTTAATTTTATATTATATACTGTAGTTAAGCAGAATAGAATATAATAAACTGGTTTTCAATAAAATTGTCATCGAAGTGTACTTTATATTATACTAATTAAAACATAAATTTATTAAGTAACATATTTATATTTTTTATTATTGTATAATTACCATATCAAAACCCGTGCCAGTTAAACTAGTGAAAGTGTTACAAACCCGAATCATTAACGATCGAATTGGCACTAGGATACGGTCCATCACGAGCCAAAAAGATTTGTACCAATTCAAACCTATACGTACAAATCAGGGCCATCAGAACCCGTGCCATTACATCACCAACACGGACCAAAAACCCGTACCAATTGGACTAGTAAAGTGTCAAAAAACCCGAGTCATTAACGGTCCAATTGACACGGGTGTACGTTCCAACACGAGCCAACAAATCCGTGCCAATTCGAACCTCATACGTACAAAATCCGTTTCTTATCCGTGCCAC